TTTAAATTACAAAAATTGACAAAAAAAAAAACTTTCTATGTGTGTAGCCTTGACACCTATCAAGCAAGGAACCCATTAGGTTATCTTTATATACAAGTATAGATATGGGCAGCGTTGCATCTTAGCCAATCAAACGGGATTATTATAACTTAACGACCGTCAGTCGTTTTATCTTTTCCTTCCATTCGGCCTTAAAAACTTAACCACCTTTCGATTCTAACTCGTCCCACAAGCACTTCCCTCCTCCTCCTCCTCCTCCTCCTCCTCCTCCTCCAGTGCAGGTTTAATTTGCAGTCACCATTTATTATGTTCTAATACAGCCCACAATTTATTGGTATGTAGTCATCTCTTCTTACTTAGTTTTAACCTTTTTGCAGTTCAGGGGATTTTAAATTGATATGTAGAACTACTATTCGCATTCCAGGCCATTTGCTCCACTATTTATAGGTTTTTTTCTTGTGCCAGATTAAAATTGGAGAGAAAAAGAATTGGATCAAGTAAAGCTGCAGCTAATGTGTATGGAGGAATGATTCTTGGACGTAATTCTTCATTGCAGAATCAGGAGAAATTTCAGAGGTATAATTTTGCTTTATAATAGCGGGTAAACTATTAAATTAGTAACTTTCATTTATTTTTTCGTCGATTTAAAAAAATAATATAATAATACTTTAATTATTTATTATTAATTTATAACATTTTGATCAATTAGTAGTTAAATATAAATTTGATAATAGTAAATGGTTAATTTTTTATTTTGAACCTTAACTTCAAATAAAATATTGATTTAAAGTCTAAAATTTAGATAAAATATCAACTTGGTCCTTAAACCTTAGATATATAAATTTAATCTTTAAATTCGACCAAAATCTCTTATTGTGACTTCCACTTACCACCGTCGTTGATTACTACCGACCACGACTGATCATCGTCAATGACTATTGAACTTCAAAATTTTGAGTTCACTTTTTTTGCCCTCCTGAATTAAATTCAATGTTTGTTTCATCGAAATTTATTTTAAACTCCATGACTACAATTCGTTCTTTTAAAATGAAATATAATAAAATTTATATTAATAATAACGTACATGACTACAAAATATATAATAGCAAATAATGCAACTCCAAACAGTGGTGGAGCACATATAGTTGAGGTTGAACATGTGTCCATCTTAAAATCCGAATAATTTTTTACTAATTCTTTATTTTATTGATGGTATTCACCTTGAAGTTTTATTTGTACCCAAATCATTTAAAATTTTTGTGGTGTTAATGTGGCTACACTCAAAATTTTTAAATTCGTCATCAAACTCCAAACTACTTTGGGCAAAGGGTCCTTTTTATTTATAACGTTAAGGGTATAACTCTAAGAATCGAGGGACATTATGAAACAAGATAGTAAAACACAAGGTCTTTATTTATTTATATTTTTGCTAGTATATCTAAACCATTTGGGCTGTGAAGAAATCTTTAAACAACACTATGAACTTATGAACAAAAGAAAATTATAGTTACTTATTTTTTTTGTTATAATATAAATTTAGATTTATATAATTCTTATTTTTAAAAGAGTAATAAAAATAAATTTATTATTATGGTTTAGTTTTAAAAGAAGTTTAAGGGTTTTAGACTGATTTGTGAAGTTTAGAGTCCCAGAAGAAAGAACATCATTTCACGTTTAGGATGCTAAAAAATGAATGAATTAAAAAATTTGGATCCATGAGTCATTGTCGATTCTGGTTGGTAGACGCAAAATTTTATATTAAAAGGGGACAACTTAGACTTAAGGGGATGAACTAAAATTCTTGAGGGGTGAACTAAATTCTAGTGGTGAAATATATTTTCAATAGGAAATATATAGAAAAATATTAAAATATACGGAAATTTTAAATTTTCGGGAACGACTGCCCCCATCCGCTTTCCAGTCCATCCTTGGTGGCTGGTGGCAGCCAATATTGACCTATAATGGTGGCGAGAGCCGATAGCAAGGACTTTGGTTGAATTTAAGGGTTAATTTATATAATATTCAAAGTTTAGGATTGAAACTAAAAATCAACCTCTTTTATTAATGTGTCATGGCATCAAACTAATGACATTTAACACGTCTTCGTGACCAAACGTTATAAAGCGATAACATAATTGATCAAAACATTATAAATTGAAAAAATAAGTGACTAAAAACGTCACTTTTTAAAATTGGTACCAAAAGTAATAAAAGTGAAACAAAAGTGATCATTTGGTAATTTACCCTTTAATAAAATCATTAAAAACTGTTTTAAACTTATCATTTAGCTTCTTTTGTGGAAAAATTATTGCATGGGATGAAAAGTACATTTAAACTCTTTGATTTATATTAAAACTCGCACAACTTCATAAAATGCACATTTTAGCTGTTAAATTTGCTTCTTTTTTTTATTATTTACATTGGCATTTCATGAAAATCTAGAGTTTTTATGCAATGAAATTAACAAAAAATTCACTTTTGACTAATAAAATTTTTATTGTGTGATTTTAACCGTTAAAGAAGCCATTGTCAAAAGCAAGGAGCTTCATATTGCAAAAAGGGATATGAGTCGATATAAAGAGAGTACAAGACATGCAATCGGCAAAGTTTGAAGCAGAATCCCGACTCTTTAGTGCAAAGAAAACAGTGAAGGATTTGGCTTCAATGATAGAGGAATCGAATTTTAAAGCCAAAGAAAGGATTAAAGACGTTGAATCTTTGAAAAACAAAGGAAAACTCGAAGAGAAGGCATCGGTTTTTCGGAGAACCGAAAGTTATCTTTATGACGAAGCTATAGAGAACTGGAAATGGTGAAACGTGAACTCAGTGACCTTAAGCTTGAAATAGCATCTGTAATGGCAGAAAAGCCAGAGCAGAGAAGGAGTACGAAGATTCGAGCTCGAAAACGGTGTCGAACGGTATGTATATCGAAGAGCTCCGGAAGGAAATCGAGGCTGCAAATGAGGAGCATGTTCTGGTCGAATTGGCCCGGATTGAGGCATCGAAAGAAACTGCAGATATCGAAGCTCGAAAGAGAAAGAAGTTGGTGAATTCTCATGTAGGATGGAGGAGATGGGGAAGAAGATGGACATGATCGAAGAGATCGATCAGACCAAAGAGTTGGAACAAGATTGAATGTCACATTTGTCAGATATTAGTGTTGCAAGATAATCTCAAGCAAGTTAAGGATCGAACACCTTCATCAGAGTCGATCAACAAAGAGTTACAGGCAGCTAAGAACGAATTGGCTTCGATTCAAGACGAGGGCTTTCGGTATATGTCGTCGATGGACGTTATCCGAAATGAGCTGAAACTTGTTAGAGAACAAACAAAGAAGCTGAAGAAAACAGAAGAGGAGACAGATTCGAGAGTTAAAAGTCTCAACTCAAAGCTCTTGAGAGCAAAATCGAAGTTGGAAGCAGTGACAACAGCTGAAGAAAAGGCCAAATCTATTGTGACCAATCTTTCAGTTGAACAATTAAGAACTGAAACTGAATCATCAAAGAAAGAGAAGGCTCTTATAATCGAAGACACTGCGAAAACCGAAGAAGAAATCCGGAAAATCGAGTCCGAAATAGACCGACCGAGGAAAAGCTGCAGGCAGCTGTGGAGGAACTTGAAGAGGTCAAGTTAGCTGAGGCTTCAGCTCTAGAAAAGTTGAGATCACTCATAGAGACCACAATGCAATCTAGAGTCACGGCATCTAATCAAAGTCCGATGATTACCATATCAAAATTCGAGTACGATTACTTAACCGGACGTGCGGTTGGAGCCGAAGAAATTGCTGATAAGTTGCTGCAGCTCAGGCATGGATTGAAGCTCTCAAGGCTAGTGAAAGGGAAATTTCAATGAAACTGAGACAGCTCGAATACATCTTAGGGAGACGAGGGTAGCGGAAGAACACGAAGCATGTCGAACCGAAAGGTCACTTTCCGCAAAGAAAACGATAGAGAAAGAGCCAAGGAACTGGAAAAATTCTGAAGGACAAAACAAGCAATCACCATTGAATAGAAGATCAATGAAAAGCAGTGGCAGCTTGACACCATTAGGAAGATCAAGGTTTCGTAGATCATCATCAATGAAGATACAGGCGGGTGGATCGACCCCATTCGTCGTTAAGAAGAAAAAAAGTGATGCTGAATCTGGCCAAGATCTTCACCGGTAAGAAAGTGATAAAGATGCTTAAGCATGTGATGTTTCCATGCAACTTTTTATTGCCAATTTGCCATTGCTTAGCTCTTTTTTTCAAGGGGGAAAAAAGAACTTGAATTTGAAGAGAGTTATTGAGGCATTTACCATTGTAATTTTACATTATTTCTTTATTTCAATTTGTGATGTAAATGAATTCAGACTATATAAATTTGGCAATTTTATTTATCGAAAATTTTGGCAATTTTGGGTATGAAACAAAAGAAGTATTATTTTTTTTAACATAAGAAGCCGGCCTAAGCTTTTATTAAACAAACAGCTGTACTCAACTACCAGCTGGAAAACCAAGGAACATCAAGAGTCAGCAGAAAACAAAAACAGTGGAAAAGAAAGAAAACTAAAAAAAAACGAAAGGCCAGCCATGCAATTCCCTTTCAGATAAAGAGACGATGAGAACCAGAGGGAACTAAACGAGAGAAGATAGATCCTTTAGCATAGGACAACAACGTCGGTCACTCGGCTATGGAGGCTCAAGGTTCCTTCTATCCAACGCCGACTGAATCATCACACCTCGAGGGCAATGACGGGTCTAGAAATTAAAAAATGGAATTCAAAATTTTAATGCTCATATCCAAAAATTTTGAGCATATAATTTTTTTTTTATTTTCATTAATAAATTAAACTAAATTTAACAATATCCGCCCTGCTAGTCGAGGGGCCTCCTCAACACCGTATTTGTCCTCCGAACTAGCAGATGCTTCCTTCGCAAGGATGTGGGCCGCCGTGTTTCCTGTTCGTGGAACCCAGCTAAAATCCACCACATGCAAGGTATTAGCTAAACACTTGCCATTCTAAATAATTGCTCCAGTTTCAGAGTAATCTGGCTCGTTTCCTTGCAGCTTCAACAACACCGAACGGGCATCGCCTTCAACCACAACCTGGGAGGAACCCAGATCCTTCGAGAACTGGATGGCATGCAGGGAAGCGGTGGCTTCGGCCAGGAACGGAGACGAGGCATGCACTATTTTCCGCCTTGCTGCTCCTAAGATATGACCATCGTGGTTTCTGACCACGATACCAGACCACGCTTCGCTATTCCTTCGAGAAAAAGCAGCATCGAAGTTTGCCTTTACCATCGGAGTAGGCGGAGGCTTCCAGAGAACAGACACAAGGGACGAGTGGGGCTGAACAGAAGCAGTGACGATGGCATACTCCTGTACGTGAGCTTGGATGAAACTGGTGAGCTCTCCACTCGATCTAACCTTACCTTCGTGGTAAAATTTGTTGCGATTAGTCCAAATAGCCCAAATAGCAATCAACATTTCATCATGCTTAGAACTCAGATAATGGGCAAATAGCCAACTTAACCGTTCCTTCATAGTCCAACCGAAACCATCAGCTGGCCAATGAACTCTTAATTTTCTCCGCACCTCATTTGCAAAATAACAACCCCTAATAACATGTTCTGCTGATTCAATAACATTGGGGCAGCGAGGGCAAAAAGGATTCGGGGATACACACTTTTGATATAATTATTGTAGGGACAATATGAACAAACCTCTAAACTTGATGTTTAATCTTTCTTTGAACGTCACAACTCCATATTCTCTTAAAACAAATAGAGGAGTCAACTGTATCAGTAGAATTAGCTAGTAACATTCTGTACCCACTACGTACCGTGTATAAATCCTTTTTTTCACACTTCAAACAACACAATTTGCCAAGTGCGAAGATCAAATCAAAGTGAAGATCCAATCAAAACCAAGAGAAAAGAAGCAAAGAAAGAGCAAAAAAGAAAAGAAAATAGATGACAACGAGCACAAACAAAGAGTCTCTCGACTCAAATGGCACATCGAGCAAACAATGAGATTGGTCAAACACAATGATTCTACAATCACTTCACCCTAAGATCATTGAAAATCAAGAGAAAGACACACACGAGTAGATTTAAATTGAGCAAACAAGATTGAAACATCATAATGAATTGATCATTGGTTCAATTACCCTTAAACACTTGTTTGGGCTTACTTATATTTTTCTTTCATAACTGTGAACCATGACCTACATTACGTGCCTTAAAAATCCCTTCTAATCATACATGGATTTCTAAACATAAGAGATTATCTTCAGATTTCATCCCACCCTTCAAGATTAATCTTTTATTTACAAAAAATGTTTTCTAAAATCTTTAATGCATGATAGAAAAAAATAACAAAGGGGAATGTCTTGAACTAAAGGAGGATTCGAGTTGAAAACCTAAAAGGTAGCTCGAATATGAAGACTGTACAACTATTGCATAGGAGGCGATCGCATAGATCCCTTGATAAGGCATCGCACAACCCGAATGAGATCATGAGAACTAAGAGTTGGAGAACACTTCCAATAAATGAGTACAGAAGCTACTCCATCAGATCAGTGAACAACAAATAAATGAATACCAAACCTTTGGCCAAACACAATAAATTGAGACCTTTTTATCCTCTCCTTATTTAAACCATTTCTTAAGGATAACATTGATCTTGACATTTGTCAAATAGCTATAATTTATTGAAGAATTAACAGTGTAATTAATTCTTTGATATCCAATGAATTCTTGTTTTATGATTTGTCAATTGTGAAACCTAGAAAGGGGCAATATCTTCAAAATCTTTGATTAAACATTTTTCATTATTCTTTTAATTGATATTTTCAAACTTTTAAAAATAAAAGAAGAAGAAAAACGCTTTTCAAACAAGACAATCTCTCTGGAGTGGATCTTGGTACTAACATGTGGCCCTCAAACACAAAGCTCATGCTTAGAATCAGCGTTGAAGCAATTAACATCGAATATTGAGGCATCTTTGAAGAAATCAACATCGAATGTTGGGGCATGTTTAGGGATTCAACATCCTAATGCGAACGATCAGATCTTCTGAAGGCCTTTCCTCCACCAGCAGGAACAAGCAGATTATCAGTATCCTTTGAGGTTTTTTTTGGAGACAAATTTTTGTCTCTCTTGAGACAATTTCTTTAGAAAAAATCTTTAGTTTGTTTCCTTTGAAATAAAATTGTGTCTCATTTGAGACGTTTCCTTCGAAACAAATTTTGTCTCGCTTGAGACATTTTCCCTTTGAGATACAAATTTCGAATTTGTTTCACATTAAACAAAGTTGATCTCACTTGAGATCGTTTTCTCAAAAACAAACTTTGTCTCGCTTGAGACAATTTCTCTAAAAACAAATTTTGTCTCTCTTAAGATAATTTCTCTCAAAGCAAATTTCATCTCACTTGAGACATTTTTTTCTCTGATGTACAAATTTAAATTTGTTGTACTTGAAACAAAATTGATCCCACTTGAGATTTTTAAAATCGATTCGTCTCGTGTGAGACAGTTTCCCGTTTAAACAAAATCCTGAAATTGTTTCCTTTGAAACAAAACAAACACCTTTGAGATTGTTTGAGAAAAGATTGTTGATTTTGTTTCCATAAAACAAAATCAACAATCTTTTTCTCTTAAAACAAATTTTGTCTCTCTTGAGACAATTTCTTTTGAAATAAATCTTTGAGTATGTTCCTTTTGAAAAATCTTTGAGTTTGTTTCTCTTAAAAAATCATCTTTGAGGCTATTTCTTTAAAAACAAAGTTGTCTCTCTTGAGACATTTCTATTAAAACCAACCTTTGAGATCGTTTTCAATGTTTCCATTGAAACAAATTTTGTCTCCCTTAAGGCATTTCTTTGGAAACCCAAAATTTTTGAGTCGTTTCTCTTGAAACAAACCATCTTTGAGTCGTTTTCCTTGAAACGAATTTGTGTCTCTTGAGACAGCTTTGCTTGAAGCATCGTCTATGAGTCGGTTTCCCTTGAAACCATTATCCCTAAAGATGGCCTTCCGTCCTCATCGCGTAGGAACCGTGTCATTCTCCGACCAGACCTCCTCATCACGTATGAGCCGTGTCACCCCTGATAACCAGTCGTCCTCATCACGTAGGAACCAAGTTATCACCCTTCCTAAAGATGACCAATAACTCTTTATCACGTATAAGCAGTGTCATCCCCTAACCAGATCTCCTCATCACGTAGGCCCTCACCAAAGCCCATTTACAAGGGTCCCAACCCAGCCGCCCAGTTACAATCACTCAACAACCCAGACACCACACAACAACCCGACCCGAATGGGACCCGATCCGACCCGACCCCCTAGGGTTTATGAAACCCTAACCCTATGGTATGATGCCACCACCACCTCCACTGTCTCTCCTGCCATATTTGTCTCAGTCGGCCACCTGTAAACAGTGACCACCTACAGTGACCGAATCAATCACTCCATCAACACATTAAAATAAAAATAAATTTATCATCCAAAATATCCATCAGTCACAAGATCACAGAGGGGAAGATAAAAAGGATCGGTGAGAAGAAAGAGAACCATTCGGGTTTTAAAACAAAAAACGAAAGAGAAATAGGGGAAGAACATTCGACAAACACCGAAAGAAAGAGAAAATAAAAACAACAAAAAAATCAAAAATAAAAAAGAGAAGGAGTCATACCTCGATTCGGAGATCTGGAAGCCCAACGGTCGTCATTCTTCAATATTTTCGAAGGTATAAAACCTAGATCTAGGGGTATTGTGAGGTTTTTAGGCTAAAAGGTTTAGGGTTTTGGTTTTAAGGCGAAGAGAGGGTTCAGTTGGGTCGATTTCACTTCTCCAGCCACAGTGCGCCACCGTCGGCCCGCCGTGGGAGCCTCCAGCCACCGTGGTTGTTCTCTCTTCGTTTGAGAGTTCTGAACTATCTCTCTCTTATTCTGATTAAATGAAGCAAATGGGAGAGATGAGAGATTTCAGCCCTTATTTTGGCTTATATCCTCCAAGCGAAACGACCGTTTCCACGAGGGGGTTTTTTCGTGTTTTTGGTTATGGGTAAATAACCCTTTTAGTCCCTCGCATTTTGTAATCGTATTATTAGGTCATTAAATGAAGTTTTCATTTGATTTGATTTCGAGCATTAATGTTTCCTTGTTTGTATTTTAATCCTATTCTTACTTATTATGCTATTATTGTCAATGTTCAAATTTGTCCCTGATATTTGTAAATATTTTATTTTAGTCTCTGCCCCGTATTAGGTTTAATTATTTTTTACTCCTCCATGTTTCTGTGTAATTTCATTTTAGTCTTTTACATGATTTATGAGTTATTTTTAGTTTTAGTACATGTATTTTAATATTTGCAATATGGACTCTATTTTATTTGAAGTTACTTTTTTGGTCCTTTAACTTTCTATTTTTATGTTTTAATCCTTTAAATTTATGTTTTAGCTATTTAGTCCCTAAGATTCTATTTTTTGTCAGGTTTCTATTTTTGCTGTTTAGTCCCTAATTTTCTATTTTTTTATTTTAGACCTTTTAATTTATATTTTTGCTATTTAGGCCCTTCCAGTTTCTGTAAATATATTTTTGGCCTTCTGAGTTTCTGTTTTTGCTATTTTAATCCTTTAAATGTTTTTTTTCTATTTTAGCCTTTTAAATTTATGTTGTTATTTTGGGTCCTTTAATTTTGAATGTGGTTATTTATTGTTTTTATTATTTGTATTTTGATCTAATATTTTATTTTTCCTATTTACATTCGTATTTAATTTTTTTATTTGCATGCTTTTAATCTAAATATTATCCGAATATTTTCAAGAACATGTATTTGTAGAACGGGCGTGGAAAGTATCACTTGATCGAAGTGGTACAATCCAATACGACATTTGAACAAATGTGAACTTGAAATAAAAATTGATTTTATTTCGCTAATTAATTCTTTTATGTTAATGTTGAACAATGCGATGCATATTACTAAATAGTGATTTATTTTATGCAAAGACCGATTTTCATTTTACATTCGATTTGCATCTTTTACAAACAATTATGAGGGAATATTCTTTTACGGACAATGAATAGTCGAGTTAGCTTTCCCGATGAAGGATTGTTAATTTCGAGGTTTCTTTTCGAGTCAAAGAGTTTTCTCTAATTAATTAATTCGAAGTAAATTAATTAACGTTCAATAAATGAATCATCTTTTAACTTTATATTCGATTTATGATTTTCACCATTTACGACAAAGTGTAAAAGACACAGTACCAATTTTGGGCGCTGTGGGGTGCCTATCATTCCCTACGCGTAACCGACTCCCGAACCCGTTTTAATCGAATCTTTGGTAAACGCATACCAGTTTTCTATCTTAAAAGGCAAATTTTCTTAAAATTGTTTTTAAAAGACGTTTTTAGGTATTCGACCTACCTAACCCAAAGGTCGATGGCGACTCCATTCTAATTTAATCCAAATCAAATCCAAATCACCCATTTTTCCAAATTAAAGTCATAATCTTTTTTTAAAATATTATTTAATTGTTTTACCTA